TAAAATAAAATAAAATAAAATAAAATAAAATAAAATAAATTCCAAATTCCTCATAGAATTTATTAAAAACACACATCCACAATGAAGACACTGCTTCTCCTACTTCCCAAATGGCTCATTTCCAAGTAATAATGATTAAGTTTTTTATCTGTCGTATGTGTTATTGTTGTTTTTATTATGGTTTAAAAAATGACGTAAAATTTACCACCTTAACCATTTCTACGTGTACACTTCAGTAGGTACAAAGTACGTTCGCATTGTTGTGCGCCCAGCGTCCAGAGCTTCTCATCCTGCACAGCTAAGGTTCTGTGCCCATCCCTGCCCCATGCAGCCCCTGGAAAACACCATTCTGTGTTTTGTCTCTGTGAGTTTGTGGTTTGTCATATTTTTACAGTGTGACTTTTTGTATTCTTCTAGGGTGAATAACTGTGTGGGATTTTCTAATTACAAATTCTTCCTGCTGTTTTTATTGTATTCCTTGTTATATTGCCTTTTTGTGGCTACAACAGTTTTACAGTACTTTATAAAATTTTGGACGGTAAGTCTTTTTTCTATCTTAAACCATATATTTAAGACTTTTTAAGATGCTATATTCGTAAAGAATTCCTTCATTCTTTATTATAAATAGATACACTTCATTTCAGTTTTACTAGATGGAATTTATAATGGATCAGAAAGTAGATCGGCTATGATTTACCTTCATATGTTTATGTTTATTTGTATATAAATGGATAGTAAACAAGATACGGTGAACTTTAGTGATCCAAACTCTTTTCACCAACACCGTAACAGTAGATACACCAGTTTTAGAGAAGTAGTTGCTTTTAGTTGAGTTGAAGAGACTTCCTGCGGTTTTAATAAAAGTGAAATTGCCAATACCCGAAACACCCACTAATCTGTTTCCTGCCTCTGTAGATGTTAATCTTTTTTCTATCATGAGTTGCAAAGGTTTTTTTCCACGTTTTCAGTTTATATCTTACAACCCTGTTTTGTTTTTATCAAACTGAAGTTTTATATTTTTAAAGCAGTATTTTTATGATTTCTGATTTTCCTATTTACTTAAAAGCCATGCTTTTCATTTATGACTTCTGGCTTTAGTCTATTCCCTATACATTTACATGATACTGACCCAGGTTTTCCTTTTCCATTGGCATTTTAATTAGTTTTGTTTTCACATTTAAGTCTTTGATTTTGAAGAGGGGATTATTGTGGTCAAAAAGTACTTTGTATTTATCCTTCCTAAAAATTCTATTGAGAGGTTTTAAAATGTAGGTTTTATGACTGAACTGCTCAGGCATGTTGAAGCCAGGCGATCGGGAGCTGATTAGGTATCATCGAAAAGGAAGTTTGTTCCTCACGGTGTCTGAGGGGAGGGGCCCACCGCGCCATGCAGGACCACGTGGGAAGCACCAGGCAGGGTGACCAGATTTAGGGGGAGCCAGTTTGAATAATGTCTGCAGTCCCTGGGTTGTCTTCACCTTTCCGTGGAGTGGTGAAGGCAGGGCAGTATTGTCTCCTGCAGAGTAACAGCCAGAGAGAGGAGGTGGCTTGGAGTACGAACTCTGGATTGGTCAGGTTGTCATAGACAAACAGGTTTATTCCTTGCTGTCGCTTAAGGACCGGAAAGCTGTGGGAGAGGCAGCCTCTCTTCAGTCAGCAAGGCCCCAGGTGCCAGTGTGTGAACAATACAGAAAATAAGAAAATGAAGTTAATGCAGAGGGAGCTGTTGCCCTTCCCATTTTCAGAGTTGAAAACCGAGGTTGGACGAGTTAGGTAACCAGCCGGAATTTGAACGTAGATTTTTCTGTTTCAGCATCCAGCTGCTTTCCACTGTGAGTTGCTTTTCATAGCGTTCCTTGGACGTAACATAATTAAAGCCTCAGTCACCAAGCACGATTATTTATCCAGGAAATAGCTAAGATATTTTACAAGGACTTTCACTAAAACATTTTTGGATGTTTTCAACTTGGGGCATTTAAAACCAGGGGGTGCTGGTACCTGCAGTGCCTTTGTGCATATTAGAAGAAAGCACCCAGTTCTGTGTGGTCTCAGCCCACCAAGTTTTGGGTTCTGTTGTTCCCCTGGTTCTAAGCACCTTTGTTCAGTTAACAACCCTCTTAACCCTGTTCAGTGGCCCTGTTTAAGTAAAGGATTTAGTGCCAGATGAATCAAGTCTAGATTATAGAATTTTACATTTTTTATCAGAAACTCCAGTGTTTGCATATAATGATTTATTAATTAAAGAATAAATATTTTTAACTCCTTCAGATTCATTATGAGTGAGGAAACGCTAGTAAACTTAAATCTTTTTCTTCAACAAATATTTATTGAGTACTTATTATGTACCAGGCAGTGTTCTAGGCACTTTGGATAGATCAGTGAACAAAACAGTCCTGTTTTTATAGAACTTATTTTTGAGAAGAGGAAGGCATATACACATAATAAATAAGTAAATCCTATTGTGTATTAGAAAGTAAACACGGTGAAGAAAAGTCAAAGTAGAGCAGAGTAAGGGATGCAGCAAGTTTCTTGGGGTGGCATGACCAGGACAGACAGAAGTGTTAGAGGGATCAGCGTAGACCTCAGGAAGAAGATCAGATTTTAGCAAAGGTTTGACGGGAGTTGGTGGACATCTGAAAAAGGAATATGTGCACGCAACATGGGAGCACCTAAATACACAGAGCAAATATTAACAGACCCAAAGGGAGAAATAGGAGCAATACAGTAATAGTAGGGACTTCAAGACCCCGCTCTCATCGATGGATAGATCATCCAGACAGAAAATCAACAAGGAAGGATTGGCATTAAAATGACACATTAGAGCAACGAGGCAGTTTAAATCGTGGGGGAAAAAATGACACATTAGAACAGGTGGACTTAACAGACATACAGAACACTCCATCCAAAAGAAACAGAAAACACAGTGGTATAAAACTAGAAATGAGTCACAAAAACGAAAACTGGAAAACTCACAAATGAGAAAGATCTCAAATGACCTAACTTTACATTTCAGGAACTAGAAAAAGAACATACAAGCCAAAGTTGGTTTTTTGAAAAGATAAACAGAATAGGTAAACCTTTACCTAGACCCATCAAGAAAGAAAGAGGACTCAAAATTAGAAATGAAAGGGGATACATTACAGCTGATATCACAGAAATGCAAAGGATCATCAGAGACTACTCTGAACAATTATGCAGCAACAAATTAGACAGCCTAGAAGAAATGGATACATTCCTAGAAACATACAACCTACCAAGACTGAGTCATGATGAAATAGAAAATCTGAACAGATTGCTAGTAACAAAATTAAATTAATAACTTCCCAATAAATAAAAGTCCAGAAACCAGATGGTTTGGTAGTGAATTCAACCAAACATTTAAAGAATTAATGCCAGTCTTCAGAATCTTCCAAAAAAAAAAAAAAAATAGAAGAGGGAACACTTCCAAATTTATTTTATAAGGCCAGTATTACCCTGATACCCAAAGTAGACAAGAACACTACAAGGAAAAAAAAAATCATAGGCCAATATCCTTGTTGAACAAAGACATAAAAGTCTTCAAAAAAAATATTAGCAAACTGCATTCAAGAATACTTTAAAAGGGGACACCTGAGTAGCTCATTCAGTTAAGCATCTGACTTTGGCTTGGGTCATGATCCTACAGTTTGTGGGTTGGCCTCGGTGCTGACAGCTCTGAGCTTGGAGCCTGCCTCAGATTCTGTGTCTCCCTCTCTCTTTGCCCCCTTCCCCCCCCCCCCCCCCCCGCCGCTTGTGCATTCTCTCTCAAAATTAAATAAATAAACATTTAATAAAAGAATACATTAAAAGGATCATATACGATGATCAAGTGGGATTTATTCTAGGGATGCAGGTTTGGTTCAGCATCTTTAAGTCAATCAGCATGATGTACCAGATTAAAAAAATGAAGGAAAAAAATCATATGATTATTTCCCTGGATGCAGAGAAACATTTGACAGAATTCAATGGCCATTTTTTAAAATGTTTTGTTTTATTTTTGAGAGAGAGCATGAGCAAGGAAGGGGCAGAGAGAGAGAGAGGGAGACACAGAATCCGAAGCAGGCTCCAGACTCTGAGCTGTCAACACAAAGCCCGATGCGGGGCTCAAACTCATGAGCCATGAGATCATGACCGGAACCGAAGTCAGAGGCTTAACCGATTGAGTCACTCAGGGGCCCCTCAATGTCCATTTTTGATAAAAATTCTTAACAAAGTAGTTATAGAGGGAATATATCTTAATACAATAAAAGCCATATATGACAAGCCCATAGCTAACATTGTAGTCAGTGATGAAAAGCTTAAAGTTTTTCCCCTAAGGTTAAGAGCAAGATAAGGATTGGGGTGCCAGGGTGGCTCAGTCAGTTAAGTGTTGGACTCTTGATTTCTAGTCAGGTCATGGTCTTACAGTTTGTGAGATCTAGCCCCACACTGGGCTCCACACTGACAACATGGAGCCTGCTTGGGATTATCTCCTGTCTCTCCGCGCCTCCTTCTGCATATGCTTTCTCTCTCAAAAATAAACATTAAAAAAAAAAGAAGAAGAAGACAAAGATTCCCACTCTTGTTACTTTTATTCAACATGGTATGTATTGGAAGTCCTATCCACAGCAATTAGGCAAGAAAAAGAAAAGGAATTCAAATAGGAAAGAAGTACAATTATCTTTGCATAATGCATATGTTTAGAATACCCTAAAGACTCCACCAAAATGTATCCAAAGGATACAAAAATGCTGATTTGAAGGGGCACATGCGCCCCAATGTTTAAGCAGCACTATTGACAATAGCCAAATTATGGAAAGAGCCCAGATGTCCATTGACTGATAAATGGATAAAGAAGATGTGGTGTGTGTGTGTGTGTGTGTGTGTGTGTGTGTGTGTGTGTGTGTAAGTAATATAATATTACTCGGCAATCAAAAAGAATGAAATCTTGCCATTTGCAACAACATGGATGGAACTAGAGTGTATTATGCTAAGCAGAATAAGTCAGAGGAAGACAAAATATCATATGATTTCACTCATGTGGAATTTAAGAGACAAAACAGATGAACAGAGGGGAAGGGAAGGGAAGGAAAAATAAGATAAAAACAGAGAGGGAAGCAAAGCATAAGAGACTCTTAACTATAGAGAACAAACTGAGGGTTGCTATAGGGGCGTTGGGTGGGGAGGATGGGCTAAATGGGTGATGGGCATTGAGGGCACTCGTTGGGATGAGCACTGGGTGTTATATGAAAGTGATGAATCACTAAATTCTATTTCTGAAATCATTATTACAGTGTGTTAACTAAGTTGGATTTAAATTTAAAAAACAGGATGATTGGGGTGCCTGGGTAGCTCAGTCAGTCAAGTGTCTGACTTCGGCTCAGGTCATGATGTCACGGTTCATGAGTTTGAGCCCCGTGTCAGGCTCTGTACTGACAGTTCTGTACTGACAGGCCTGGAGCCTGCTTCGAAATCTGTGTGTGTGTGTGTCTCTCTCTCTCCCTCTCTCTCTGCCCCTCCCCTGCTCATGCTCTGTCTCTCTCATAAATAAACATTAAAAAAAAAACAAAAAAAACGGGATGATATAAATACACTTTTACTCTACATTATTTTAGAAACCTCATAAAGTATCTTTTAAGAATTGGGAAGTACAGGGTGGGTATGTCTTCTCAATGAAAATACCTATATGATTTTCACAGCCATCCTTTTATGCTAGTCTATCAATAAACATTATGTGAACAGAAAAAAAATAAAAGACTTCACAAAAACTGTTAGAACTAGGAAACTAATTTGGTAAGTTTGCAGGGTATAAAATCAGTTGCATTTCTGTATTAGTAACTAACTGTCAGAAGAGAAATTGAGAAAACAATCCCATTTACACTGGCATCAGAAAGGGCAAAATACTTAGGGAATAACTTTAACCGAGGAGTTGAAAGACCTATACATTGGGGACCATAAGAGACTGCTGAAGGCAGTCGAAGGCACAAACAAATGGAAAGTTAACTGTGCTCATGGACTGGAAGAGTTAACATTGTTAAAATGTCCATACTACCAAAAGCCATCTACAGATTTCAGTGAACCCCATAACTAAGTTCCAATGGCATTTTTCACAGAAATAGAACAAGCAATCCTAAAGTTTATGTGGAACCACAGAAGACCCCAAATAGCTAAGGCAGTCTTGAAAAAGAAGAACAAAGCTGGAGGTATCATGCTTCCTGATTTCAAGCTGTATTACAAAGCTATAGTAATCAGAACCATATGGTATTGGCGTGAAAACAGACACAATGGTCAATGGAACAGAATAGGCCAGAAATAAACCCATGAATCTTGGGTCAGTTAATTTTTGACACAGGAGCCAAGAATATACAGTGGGAAAAGGACAATCTTTGTAATAAGTAATGTTGGTAAACATGGACAGCCACATGCAAAAGAATGAAACTGGATCCCTACCTCCATCATACAAAAATCCGTTCCAAATGGATTGAAGACTTGAACATAAGACCTGAAACGGTAAGTCTCCTAGGTTAAAACATGGGCAGTAAGCTCCTTCATGTTTTTTAGATTTAACACCAAAGGCAACAAAAGCAAAAGTAAACAAGTGGGACTGCATCAGACTAAGAAGACAAAGGAAACTATTAACAAATCAAAAAAGCAGCCTATTGAATGGGAGAAGATATTTGCAACTCATATTATCTGATAAGGGGGTAATAGACAAAATATACAAAGAACTCCTATAACTCAATAGCCAAAAAACCAATTAAAAAATGTGCAGAGGACATTTGCAACTACATGGATGGAACTGGAGGGTATTATGCTAAATGAAATTAGAGAAAGACAAATATATGACTTCACTCATATAAGGACTTTAAGAGACAAAAGAGAGGAACATAAGGGAAGGGAAACAAAAATAATACAAAAACAAGGAGGGGGACAAAACCTAAGAGACTCTTAAATATGGAGAACAAACAGGGTTACTAGAGGGGATGTGGGGGGGGGGGATGGGCTAAATGGGTAAGGGGCATTGAGGAATCTACTCCTGAAATCATTGTTGCACTATATGCTAACTAATTTGGATGTAAATTAAAAAAAATAAAAATGTGCAGAGGAGGGGTGCCTGGGTGGCTCAGTCGGTTAAGCATCCAACTTCAGCTCAGGTCATGATCTCACGGTGTGTGAGTTTGCGCCCCGTGTCAGGCCCTGTGCTGATAGCTCAGAGCCCGGAGCCTGCTTCGGATTCTGTGTCTCCCTCTTTTTCCTCCCCCGCTAATGCTCTGTCTGTCTCTTCTCAAAAATAAACATTAAAAAAAAAATTTTTTTTTTTAAATGTGCAGAGGATCTGAACAGGCATTTTTCCAGACCTATGGATGGCCAGCAGGTACATGAAAAAGTGGTCAATGTCACTAATCAGGGAAATGCAAATCAAAACCACAGGGTGAGACATCAGCTCATACCTCTTAGAGCAACTATTATCAAAAGATAAGAAATAACTGGCGTCGGCGAGGATATAAAGAAAAGGGGATACATGCACCATTGGTGGGAATGTAGATTGGCTTAGGCACTATGGAAACAGTATAAGGATTCCTCAAAAAATTAGAACTGTATGGTCCAGCAATTCTACTTCTGGATATTCATCCAAAGGAAATGAAAATACTAACTTGAAAACATATGTGTAACCCTGTGTGCATTGCAGCTTATTTAGAATAACCAAGAAATGAAAACAACCTAAGTATCCATCAATAGACAAATGGATAAAGAAACTGTGTGTGTGTGTGTGTGTGTGTGTGTGTGTGTGTGTGTGTGTGTGTACACAATGGAATATTACTCAACCATAAAAAGAAGGAAATCCTGCCATTTGTGACCACATGGATGGGTCTGGAGGACTTTAAGTGAAATAAGTCAGAGAAATAAAAATACTGTTTTTGTCACTTAAATGTAAACTTTTTGAACTCATAGACACAGAGAGCAGATTGGTGATTGTCAGGGACAACGCATGGGGGGTGGGCACAGTGGGTGAAGGTGTTCAAAATAACATACGTCCTGAGTATGTAATGCACAACATAGTGACTATAGTTAAATGTGTTGTGTTGTCGCTAAGATAGTACCTCTTAAAAGATCTCCTCACTAGGAAAAGAAATTTGTGCCTGTGGTATGGATGTTAACTAGACTTATTGTGGTGATCATTTTGATATATATGTAAAATCATGTTTTGCAACCAAAACTAACGTTACATGTCAGTTATATCTCAATTTTTGAAGAACAGTGTGATCAGGGTAGATCTCAATAAGAAGGATAAGATTTGAGCCAAGACTTGAGGGGAGTTAGTGGACATCCGAGAGAAGACTTCTGAGGAAACATCTGGACTTCAGAGCAAAGGCCCCAAATTTTGTAGGCGCACCCCCACTGTGTTCGTGTAACAGCGAGGAGGCTAGTGTGGCTGGAGTAGAATGACTGAGAACGGGAGTGATGCGAAGCCCAGGCAGTGGGCCTCGGAGAGTGTCAAGGATGTTGTCTTTGACGCTGAGTGAAACGGGAGCAGAGGAGTGACGTGGTCTCAGTGTAACGCGTCACCCTGACTGCCGAGCTGAAACTAGACGGCAGGGTAAAGGACAGCACCTCTGAGAAGGCTGTTGCGGTAGCAGTGAAGGTGGTAAGAAATTCTCAGATACAGTTTTTAGAAAGAAACCACTAATCAGAAGTTTTTTAATAAGAGCTATTTGCTAAAAAAAAAAAAATGAATTTTATTTTTTCCTAGATATAAATCTCCGTTTTTAAAAACAGTGTAAAAGTGTCTGTTTAAAGTGTACCTTGAATGTGCTTGAAGAGCTAAATATTCGTGTCTGTGTTCTTTTGTGTTTTTGGAGGAAGTGTCAACGACCTTTAGAGAGCAACATCTTAGTGTTCCTTCAAAACATAAAAGATCTATAAAAGTAGTGTTCAGGATAATTTTGTATAAAATTTGGTTTCTTAATACATTATCTCTATTTGTACAAGCTTTGCCGCAGGAAATCTACAGAGAGTTGTCCAAAGGTAAAAGAACATCATTGCCATGCCATTCTTGTGACATTTCTAGTAAATACGTATAAAACTCATTTGCTTCACAAGATGGGAAGTTAGAAGAATCACTTGATGTATTGAAAACACATTGTGGTTACTCTGGGAGAGAAGAGAAAAAGATGAAAGAATCATCTAATGCTAAAAACCTTCCATTTACCCTGTAAACAATGTTTCAGTCAAGCAGAACCACCTCATGCTCTAGTGGAAAACCATATGGACGGTTTTATTTTAAGAGCCGACACTTAAGGGCTTCCTCTGTCTCCTATTAATAGATAATAATTCCAGGTTAAGGTTTTGCTTCTGTTAAAATGAATATTGCCATAAGATCGGGTAACAGAGAAGCTGTTTCCATTCACTAATACCTTGTGGTAAATGTATTTACCAAAACTGCTAATTACCGAAAAAGACTGGAGGAATTGAACGAGGATAAAAAAGGTAGGAATCAAGACAACTGAGGGCATGGGGATATTTGCTGTGGTGTTCCAAAAGTAGAAATTAAAGATAAATTTATCACAGTTAGTGTCTGATTAGCAGCATGTGTCATTAAAATAAGCAAATGTTTTGGCATAGATAAGGAAAGCCGTTGTATATCCTGGATATTGGGGAAAGCATATGAAGATATGCGTAAAGTACAAAAGAAAATGTTGAGCAAAAAAGTGCATCCTTATTATTGAAAACATTACTAAAATTTTTAAATGTTTAAGAGTAATTTTTAAAATGACTCTTTCCACCTCTTATATAAGCAAGCTCCTTTGATAATGCCAATTTTCTGTTTTTGGAGATGTTGCCTTTGGATTTATTACCTCAATTTACTCCATAGTCTTCATATCTGGCAAGAGTTTTGGTAGATTCGGCAGTCTTTAGGAAGAACCAGATCATAATATATCTTAGAGGCTGACGATTCTAAAGTTGAGTCTTCTTTTTTCCTTCCTCAGAATGAACTCTCTGATACACGTGCAAAGTTCCACGTACTTTTTCTTTTCTTTGTGTCTACAATGTTCTTCATCAGCGTCCTGTCACTTTTCAGCTACCACTGCTGGCTGGTTGGAAGAAACAGAACAACAATAGGTAAGTAGGTTAAAAGAAATCCTAATTATTTAGGAAAATGACCATAAACGAGTATGAAGTATCATGAGAAGATAGATGATAAAGAAGTGTAAAACAGTTCCGTATTAAGACTGTGACTGGATAAGAACAATGGGTGTACAATAAATGTAAACGTTCATTATTTTGAAGGTTGAGGAAATGAGTTTGGCTTTTGTATGTATTTTCAGTGGTGCATTGTATATAAAAGAACCGACTGCATAAATTTTAGTAAATAAAAGCTGTTTCTTGCGTTTATACAATGCTTTTTCAAAAATCAACCTATAAAGGTAGATAGTAGATTTACATGTTATAAGGAAGTTCATTCTCTGAATGCAAAAAAAAATTTTTTGAATCCTCATTTACAGCTTTTTTTTTTTTTTAGCTAAAACATGTGTCTTTTACTCTTTTTCCCCACAGTTGATTGCACACTGACTGGCATTTTCCCTGATTGAGTAGTGTTTTTAACATGGCTTTATGTCAGTTGACAGTGAAATTTATGTATTATATCACTAATATCAGTATTTATTTCCTTTTTTTTGTTGTTCGTTTTTTAAAGTACAATATAGGGGAGAAACTCAGTGAAGTATTAAAATAATTGGACAAACATTTCCTAAATAAGGGTGATGTGGCATTCATTGCTCAAACTAAGCTATTAGCCTGTAAGCAGCTACCGTGCTCTAATCGAAATATTTAGGCATTGGCTAATGTACCAAAGTACAAGATAAGGATTTGTTGGGGCACCTGGTGGCTTAGTCAGTTGAGCATCCAGCTCTTGATTTCGGCTCAGGTCGTGATCCCAAGGGTCATGGGATTGAGCCCCACGTTGGACTCTGTGCTAAACATGGAGCTTAACTGAGATCCTCCCTGCCCTTCTACCCTGCTCACACTCCCCCTCTCTCTCTCAAATACAAAATTTAAAAAAAAAAAAAAAGACAAAATAGGGATTTGTCACATTGTTTCATAGGAAAGTCAAAGACTCCCTGCCATCTAAAGCCATATGTCTAACAGGAGAATTAGAGGCAGATAGATTATAATACAAAAAGATAAAGACATCTCAGGGAGACTTTTAGATATGTCTCTAGGTTATTTTAACCTTGTGTTCTACTGAGTCATTTAAGGCATGATGGGCTCCATGGTAAAGATTTCTGTGCCCTTTCTTTCCCAGCCCACCTCCTTCAGTCCCAACATGCATTCCTCCCTTTTCTGTATAAATAAACTTTCTGGTGTCTAGTGGTTAATTCATTACCCTGTTCACAGATATCCTGCCATCTCCTTGTCTTTAACGGCAATGATAAAAGGCAGCCTACATGGAAAGTCTAGTCCTTATGAACCACCCGAACTAGAAAGGGAGAGATTTCCTATAGAAAAGTAGAATTCTTTTCAGAAATTGGTAAATCTGGTAACAGTGGGCCCGTTTTCCTATCTGGCGTCCTTCAGTTGAAGCTGAGTCATAGCTGACTGCTTCAGTTGGGAGCCTGAGCACTTCAACTTTTTAACCTTAACACTTGGAACACTTACAGTTCTAATCCTGCTTCGTTTCCTGCCCAGCGTTGTTGTTATGAGAGAGCAGTGTTTCATGGGAAACCCGTTCTCTTTAAATAGTCTTCTTCAAACTTTTTTGCCTGTGACTCCAGCAAGAAAGGCATCATTTGTATCGTGACCTAGTGCATGCACACATTTATAAAATTATATAAATAAGCAAAAAATTTATAAAACATTATTAATCTTTATTTGCAATGTACTCTAATACTTTCTGTTCTAGTTCATTAAAAAGAAATGCTGGTCACAAACCACTGAGTCGATTTCACAGCCTATTGGATGTGAAAAACACCTATCCGGGTGTTTTAACCCACACTTTGAAAAATCATTACCCGGACACTCCACTTCCTTTACAGCCTCACCTTCCACACCCCTGACCTTGGGCTGGTTCTCCATTGCTTCTTCCAGAGTCCTGCTCTTGTGTCCTTTGAGGTGTCCCCTCTACCCTTCCCCATTACTGTCACCTACCCACCTTGAGACCAGTTCTCCAATTTAAAGAGTTTCTATATTCAGACAACTGCGATCATCCCAGACAGGCAAGCAGTCTTTGATTCTGGTGGCTAATCATTCCCATAAACTAAATATTGAACCTTTTATTCTCTTGGAACTGAGGAGTCCCTGAAATTTTCAATTGGAATTTTCCATTCTCTGGCCATTCTTCATCCTTTCATCTATCCTTTTCTGTATGCCACCGAATTTCCTCTTTTACCCTGCCTGTATTCTCCAGCACTTCTCTCCCAAGGACTCCCTTCCTTTCTGGTCTCATTTTCTCGTCTTTTCCGTTTTAGATCCTGTAACAAGTGACTTGAACGACTCCTGACAGTACTCTCACACTATACCCACCCTGGTTTCCTCCCATAATTTATTTGCTGATCTGCTCCCTGGTTATTCCCCAGCGCTTCACTTTATCCACACGCATGTCGAGGTGTAGAAAGCTGGGGAAGGCAGTCTTACTCCCACAGTGATGTGTGCAGGTCTCAGACCTCACTTGGGTCCTCTACTTGGGTCCTCTACTCTCTTTGGCAGTCACATGTCATGTGTTTCTGAAAAAATTAGAAGTTGTCACAGGTAAATTTTTAACCGCCTGCCCCCCACCCTTGTAACCTCACACAGACATTTCTCCTTTCAAACCCATCACTGTCACACTGCCTCCAAATTCTGAGGACAAATGTCTTTTCTGGTATCTAAGGTTAATCTTTAGAACTCTTCTAGAGGCTGTCCCATTTCTTCTAGAATTTTCTTGCATCAGTTTTTACTTTACTGTTCTGTATCATCAACCTTTCCCAATTCCTCTCTCCCTGGCTTCTTACCCATAGCTTATAAAACATGCTAAAATGCATTGTACTTTTAAATAAAGGAAAAAAACCATTTTTCATTTTTCTGGTGAGAAGTGTATCTTTCTTCAGCCCTCACTATGGATCATTTAGCAGCCAAGTTTGAAATAATGGTCTCTGATTAGCATCTGCCTCTTTTTTTATTCATCGTTCAAGATCATGTTCAAGTACTGCCACCCCCATTCACACCTGTATCTGTGTCACAGTGCAGTTTTGTTAGACTTTATTGGACTGTCGGTTCTTTAAGAATTTCATCTAATTTACCTTTGGATCTCAAACATCTGGTACTGTGCCAACAGGCACGTGGTAAGAATTTCATAAGTAATGAATGAGTGAAGTCACAAGAGTTAGCATATCTTTTTTTAAAAGGGAGATACAGGGGCGCCTGGGTAGCTCAGTCAGTTAAGCATCTGACTCTTGATTTCGGCTTAGCTCATGCTATCACAGTTCATGGGTTCAAGCCCCATGTGGTTCGAGCCCCACACTGTCAGCACAGAGCCTGCTTGGGATTCTCTCTCCTTCTCTCTCTGCCCTTCCCCCACTTGCATGCGTGTGCACATGCTCTCTGTCTCAAAATAAGTATTTTTTCTATGTTTTATTCTTTCAAGAGAGACAGAGCGTGAGCGGGGGAGGGGGAGAGAGAGAGAGGTAGACACAGAGTGTGAAGGAGGCTCTAGGCTCTGAGCTGTCAGCACAGAACCCGATGCAGGGCTTGAACTCAGGAACTGTGAGATCGTGACCTGAGCTATAGTCAGATGCTTAACTGACTGAGCCATCCAGGCACCCCATAAACTTTTGTTTTTTAAGGGAGATATAATGAACACACTTCAGTAGATTTTTTAGTAATATTAGATAATTCTTCTCACATTTTCATTTTATAAAGATGATGAGGGGCGCCTGGGTGGCGCAGTCGGTTAAGCGTCTGACTTCAGCCAGGTCACGATCTCGCGGTCCGTGAGTTCGAGCCCCGCGTCGGGCTCTGGGCTGATGGCTCAGAGCCTGGAGCCTGTTTCCGATTCTGTGTCTCCCTCTCTCCCTGCCCCTCCCCCATTCGTGCTCTGTCTCTCTCTGTCCCAAAAATGAATAAACGTTGAAAAAAAAAAATTTTTTTTAAAAATAAATAAATAAAGATGATGAAATACTCAGAGGTAGTATTTTTTTCCCAAATAAGTTTGAGAAGTTTCTTTTAATTGTTACAAATATTTGTTTTAAATTATATTTATAAAACTTTGATATCAAAGAGTAAGCAAGAAAATTGCTACTTTCCATCCTTATATAATTATTCAGTGGATTAATTCTTTTTTTTAATCTGTGTATCTATAACAGAATCATTCCGCTCACCCACATTTTCATATGGACCTGATGGAAATGGTTTTTCTCTTGGATGCAGTAAAAATTGGAGACAAGTCTTTGGCGATGAAAAGAAATACTGGCTACTTCCAATATTTTCAAGGTAATTTATAAAATGCAGGTCTCAGAAATTACAGAATCTGTGATAGTCTCTGGCTAAATGTGTTAAGATTCACAGAATACTGTATATGACATCCTATGAGCCTGGAGAATGAAAACTCAGAATATCTTGATTATATAAAAAATTTATTTTTCATGTTTTTTATTACATGGGCAAAAGAGGGTTTGGTTTGGGCATATATTTGGAAAGCGGAAAAAATGATTCATAAAAATCACAATCACTTTCTCCTGCAAAATGTAAATAAGTTGTTTGAAGTAGAAAATGATAAGAATTTATACTTACCAGCTACATCTCAAAGATTCTATCACAGACTATTCTGTTGTGTTTTAAATCGAAGACCCAACACATAATGCAATTTTTAACTTCAAATTTAAATGAAAATAAATGCTTGAGATGATTCATAGTTTCCTTGTCACCCAGACCCCAGGCGTCTTAGGCTATCTATGTATCAGAGTCACTACAGAAAAGGAAAAAAATATTTGAAATTCGAATGACATATTTATCAATGTTACGGGATTTTCTTCTCTTCATTTGCTGCACTTCCTATAGTTTGTCTGAAAATAACGTTTTGTTTTCACTTTTGAAAAACATTCTGCTTGGCCTATAATTCTGGATATTGCTTTAATGGTCTTCTGGGTTACATTTTTGTCTGACAAGTTTGCAGTCATTCTTTTTTACTCTGCATGTGATGTGTCTTTTTCACTGAGTGCTTTTAAAATGGGCTTTTCATCACTAGTTTCATGCAGTTTGATTAGGATGCGCCTTGGTATATATTGTTTGGTATGTTGTTCGTTTTTCTTGTGCTTGGAATTGGTTGAACTTCTTGGAGCTGTGATTCTATAACTTTCATCAGATTTGGAAAGTGTTTGAATCATTATTTCTTCAAATAAGAAGAATGCATGTATATTCGTACACGAGAAGTTCTACCACAGCTCAGCGATGCGCTGTCCGTTTCTTAGTCTTTTTTCTGTGTTTCATTTGGCAGATCCTATCGCTGTATCTTTAAGTGTACCAATCTCCTTTGTCTCCTGTATTACAAGGTCGTCCACTCCGACTGGGTAGAACACGGACTAGTATTTTTTAAGATTATTTTCTCTAAGTAGCAATTTCAGTGTTGACTGGTTTGGTTGTTTTTTCCCCCATTCTTTAAAGATGTTGTTCCATTAATTTACAGATTGCATTGTTTTTGACAAGAAATCAGCCTCATTCATCTTTATTCCACTATTTGTAAATTACCGGGTCTTTTGTTTCCTCCTTAGCTTCTTTTAAGATGTTATCTTGATCACTGATTTTAAGCAGTTTGATATGATGTATGGTTTCTTTGTGTTTATCCTCTTTGGGATTCATTAGGCTTCTTGGATCTATGAATTTATAGTTTTCATCACAATTAAATAATTTTAATCATGTCTGCCCATGCTCTCCCCGCACTGGGTTTTCGGGCACCCTTAAATATATGTATGTTCAATTGCTTGATCGTGACCCACAGGTCATTACTGTTTTTCCCTGCCCCCCATCTTTTTTTTCTACCTGCTGAAGTTTGGATAGTTCGCTGATCTTTTCTTCTGTGATGTCCGCTCTGCTGTTAAGCTCATCTAATGAATGTTTCATTTCAGATATTGTGTTTTTCAGAATACACAGAATATTGTGTTTTTCTTCTGAACTTTTGTAGACGTTCATTTTGGTTCTTTTTTTTATATCTTAAATTTCTCTTCTCATTATGTCCATTTTTCCTGTTAATTCACAGACATTTATAGTCACTAATTTAAAGTGATTGCTTCAAGTTTTCATAGTCATTTCTAATTCTTTTCTAGTAACTGTTTTTTTCTTAGCTGTGGATCCCATTTTCCTACTTTCCATGCTAGTAATTTTTTATTAGGTGGTAGACATTTCGAATTTTGTGTGTTAAATTTTGCTTTCTCCCTTTGGCAGTTACTTGTGTTTTTAGTGTGGTCCTTTTGAGGCTGTTTTAAGCTTTGTTACGTTGGGTTTAAAGTAGCATTTTCTTTAGGGCAGGTTTAGCCCTGCAACACAGGCGAGAGCAAGCTGGGGTCTCTACCGAATCCAGACGTACAGTAAGATCTCTCTAGTGTGGCTGGTCAGATTCGAATGCCTTCCAGTGCTGTAGGAGCTTCATGGATTGTTCTCTTGTACTTCCCAGTTGTTCTTCTCCCAGATTCACATGTGTAGTTTAGCATTCACCACGAGACTCCAGTGAAATGCTGTGCACATTGCCATAGGCCTTCCTCTGCGTATCCGCCCTTCCTCAGCTCTGTCCAGTAGATTCAAGCACATCACCTTGAAACGTGCATCTCTGAAACCTCAATTCAATGAGACGACCTTGCTCTGCTTCCCCTGGTGGTGCCCAGGTCCTGGCAGAAAGCTGGGACTCACTTGGTTGGTTTCTCTTCTTTCAGACACTACAGTTCTGTGTTGCCTGTTTGGAAAATAGTTATTGTATATAGTATTCAGTTTTCTGGTTGTTCATGACAGGAGGTCACATTTACCAGTTAACCCATCTTGGCTGGAAGTGAAAGTCCGTTTTACCTACTTTTGGTATTTTTAAAATGTGAAGATATGTCTGTAATTTTTTAATTGTAAACTTCTTGAAGGCAGAGATTTTCTTCTCCTTTGTTCACTGCTCTATCCCTACCTCTTATAATAGTACCCAGAGCATTGTAAGCATTTAGTAAATACTTGTCAAATGAATAAATATGTGGAACTTACATCTTGAATTCCATTTTGTGCCTTTATGATGTCCTAACTGATAGTGATGAGCAGGTCACTTACCCAAATATTTGATTACCTGTGTTTGAGGCAGCATAATCTTAATAATAATTATAGTCTTAATTACCCAAATTTTTCATTATCAGCTTCCCTGGTACTTGAATACCTATGTTTGAGGTATTATAAGAGGCATTATAATCTTAGTAGTCATGAAAGATATTGTTTTTAAATACATGTAAATTAGAAGAGTAACCCTCTAAATTAGAAAATGTTAAGAATTATTCTCTGTAATGACAACATATAATTTCTTTATACTGTGACTTTGAAGAATGGTTATTAAATTTGAACACTTTGATTTACATTAATATGATTTAAATTATTGCTGATATTTTTCATTATGCAGCTTGGGTGATGGTTGCAGTTTTCCAACTCGCCTTGTGGGGATGGATCCAGAACAAGCTCCTGTTACAAATCAAAATGAATATGCTAGAAGGTGTGCTTCTTGTCATCAAGTTTTTCTGTATTCATTATAAAGCAAACTGTGTGTGTGCGTGTGTGTGTATGTGTGTGTGTGTGTGTTGTACATACATATAAATACAGTAGTAATTTGTGAGCCAACATAGGCAAAGAGAAATTCTATATAAAAGGTTTTTAACTGAGAGTTAATGTGGGTGTTTACCTAATATGTTGAAGACAGCCGTATTTTTTATCATCCAAACCATAACACTTTTAATAGTAAGAAAGAGAATGCTTGCTATTGCTATTAATAGTTGAACTAGAAATCTCTGGGCCAACCAGGAAACATGGCTATCCTAAATATGCTACATCTTTCTAGAAACTAAGATATTCTTTCAAGATTTGATTCTGTTGGTTTGTATCAGCTCTATTTTTTTCAAAGAAATTGGTCATGCGATCCATCATTATATTTTGATAAACAGATGTTAATTGCGGTGTGAAAATAATGTTAATGAGGATTTCAAAAATACAAATGTAAAATTTTTTCTCATTCATTCATCTTAGGAGATATTTTCTCAGTATTTCCATGCCAAGCAATCCGATTCATAAATTCAGAGAAATAGCTCATTTTAAATGAAATTTTAAAGAAGATAGAGATGCTTCTATCAAAGTGAAACAGTTGAAATTTACTTAAGACAGAAATAAATTGCGGGGGAGGAGGGATTATAAATTCCAAGCCGGCCCATTAATATCAGATCGTCGACCTTAGAACCTCCAGTCTTTGGACCTTAGAACTCTAACTCTTACTGTGGGTCTGAACAAGTCACCTCAGCTGTGTGAGACTCGGTTTCCAGCTCTGTCAAATGAGGGCAATCACAGCTGCCTCCAAGGGTTATTGTGAAGCTTGACCTGTGTCTGATGCACCCAGCACAGTGTCTGGCCCGTAGTAAGTACGCAAGGAACACTACTTCCCTTTTCCTCCTTCCGTTCCTCCACCTTCTCCCTCCCCGGGTCTCTTAGCAAGAAAAGTAAGTCTACGCTGAGTCACTAAATCGTTTTTTCCCCTTAGATCTAAACTGCAGAGGTAGAAAGCAGAAAACTTGGGAAATGACAGGTAATTTTTTTTGTCCTGGCCACAGACCTAGATCCCCACCTTGTGCTACCTTAACGGCTCTCGATTAACACGTTTTAAAAGTTTCACACCAGCCTTTGGAGCTTTTTTCTTTTGTCTAATAGTTTTCATTGGCACTGTTGGAATAGAGATTCTTGGGTCTAGAGAGCCATTCAGTTGGGGGTTGGGGGCATATTTTTCTTTTGAAGATAGAGTTTTTTAAGAGTGCTGAGATCTCATGAGTTGCCCTCACATATGTAGGAGAAGGAATACTAATTTGCTGCTTATTAATTAAGTATTAATTGAGCATTAAACTAGTTACTGAATTATTTTCCTCCTCTTTTCAGTATTGGCTCAAGTCAACCCTTTCCTATCAAACCGCTTAGTGAATCAAAAAACCGATTGTTGGACAGTGAATCTCAGTGGACAGAGAATGAATCTGAGGAAGGCACTGTCAGATCAGGTAATACTTACTTGTCTTCTCGAAAACACTGCTTTTTCTGGTTCAGATGAAGTCAACCAGGTTTAACAAATGTGGAAAAATCAAAATAACACCATATTTGAAAATACTAACATACGAGAGACTTTTTAATGGAGTATCTGACATATGGGGTGTCAGTGTTTATTGGTAGCTTTTATGGAGAAAAGGTTTGAGAAAGTGTAGTGGCTACTCCTGTGTTCTGTTCTGTTGACACAGTTGGACTTGCCTTTTGTTACCCAGCCATGTGTTTCTTGACCTCAGATGTAGAAAGTTCCTTTGGCACTCACGATTCTGAATAGCGTTTAAACAAGATTTTTCTCTGGGGTCTTAATTTTGCTTATTTGAAAATAATTTTTGAAATGCATTGTAGTCTTTGCTGCCTTAATATATAAAAAGAGTGCACCAAAAATATTTTAACCTTTTCATGATGACTGTTAATCATTTCGTGAATTATGGATTCGTTGTAGAACAGTTGACAAGACAGAGGTGGTCTTTCGAACCAGGCCAGGTTTATGACATAGGCTGGCCATTTAACATGCATTACAAGCTACACTCTTTGCATGGCGGTTTTTAATAGCAATAGTAATAGCACTGTCCTCATCTTGCTCTGTAGGAAAATGGTTTGGACATTCAGATCATTTTGTACCAAGGGAAATACCCTAAGACTTGAAAGCCTGCTGTCAGAATTTCTGATTTTTTGTTTGTTTTTGGCTCTTCGCAATGCTTAAGTTATTCTCTTGAATTCGTATCATTAGGATATTCTCTTAAATTAGTATTCATTAGGATCATCAGACCCCATGTATAAGGTCAAAGGAAAAATTCATTCATGGGCTTCGCAGTTATGGCTGCTTTCAAAGCCAATGGACATTTTCACAAATATAAGCCTAAAACCAGACTTTTAGCTCTTAGCGCTTCTGGGTTCTCCAAGAGGATATGGTTATGGTTGATAACCATAAGCATAATATAGTGCTTTTGTAAGAGTTGCTTTTACTGTGATCATCAGTTCTACCATTTAGCCAGAAACTTAATACTTCTTTTTTTGTGTCATGTCGTATATAATTATGTGCTTACAGGGACAAATAACCATGTTACAGTGGCAATAGAAAATTGAGTACCACTGGTTCATAACTAACCATTTGAATAAGAACAAGGTAAGACAGTATAAAGGTAATCTCCTTGAACAAATGCAGTTATTTTCATGTTTTCTAATCTCAAAACAATTTGCAAGTCATTTTTTTTTTTACTCTTTCAATTATATCAGCAAAATTAGGTGGTTAAGAAGAGATTGGAAGGTAACAGCTGCCTAAATCCCATTTTTCTTACCACTTCTAGCACAGTCTTAGTAAACATGTATTGGTAGGTTAATGAAGAAGCTAATAAAAGCTTTTTTGGGTTGGTATGTGGACGACTAATCTTTTCAGTAAACGGTGTCTTATTAATTAGTTTAAGAAAAACAAGATGGCTTTTGCCTACTATTAGAAGGATGTTGATCCAGAGAAGAGTGGCTGCAGAAAAGACTGCAGAGGTTCGCTGATGTGATCTAGTTGGAAAAGAGGTAACAAAAGAGCAGTTTCCTGTAGCCAGCCACGCTGAGCAGCTGATCTCTGTCTGGCCAGCCCGAGACAGCAGCCCGAGGAAATTAATGTAACTGGCAACCAGGAACTTCCCAGACAGACTAAACACAAACCTTAGTGCAAGTAGGTGGTGTAACTAAGTTGAACTGTGAGGGATGTAGTGAGCTCCGTGTCTCCCGATGCTTTGAAACAAAGACGGCTCTCTGTTTCAGTTGGGGACTCTCTCGATGACTTGGGAGCATCTTGGGCAGCTATTAGATTGTTCCGAAGTCTTCCTCGTAACCTGTATTGCTTACCCTTTGCTGCATAACAGATGACCACAAACAGCAACTGAAGACAATGTCCCTTTATTGTCAGCTTTTCTGTGGCAGGAGTTCATCTTTTCAAGGAGTTCGCATCTGCAGTCTCAATCAGGGGAGCATCTGCTTCCTTGCTCAGCAGTTTTCATTAGCATTCAGTTCCTCACAAAGGACCTGGAGCCCAGGTCCAAGGTAACAGGCAGATCCTATGTGAGACCTAGCAGAATCAGAACAGAGGCTCTCAGGGTGGGCTTGTGTCAGGCTGGACTCTGGAGAGGAGTGGTGACTGTGTGTCATGAGGTGACCATGCCCACCAAGAACTGTGGCTGTGGTATAGCCTTGGTTCTAGAATTCTTAATGTGGGTGGAAGAATGTCTGATGCTAGTGGTTGTTGAAAATCCTCAACAATCTATAAATGTTGCTGTGGGTACCTCCCTATATGCTCTAGCAGTGTTAGGAAGGGGTGGGTAAAGATGTCCTCGCAGGTTATGTCCAAGTTAACAGTAAGGGAGAACCAAAAGAATCCACCTCTTTTAAAATGTTCTCGTTTGCTTCTGAGGAAGAAAGCCAGCAGTACCCCTTACTTGCTGCTTATAAAAATCTTTGTTATTATTACAGTATTAGTTGTATTAAAGTATTTATTTCCTTCTTATTTTATTTTATTTTATTATTTTTTAAGTGTTTGTTTATATTTGAAGGAGAGAGAGACAGAGCACAAGGAAGGGAAGGACAGAGAGAGAGGGAGACACAGAGACACAGAATCCAAAGCAGGCTCCAGGCTCTGAGCTGTCAGCACAGGGTCTGCCGTGGGGCTTGAACTCACGGACCGTGAGATCATGACCTGAGCCGCAGTCGGACGCGCAGCCGACTGAGCCACCCAGGCGCCCCTGTGTCCGGTCTTGTTATCTTAGCAGCTTTATACCTTAGCCCACAGAACCGCTTAATAAATCTTATTTTCAGAACTATAAAATTAAGTTTTAACCAGTAACTCAATTGTTTCTGATTTTGTAGGTTTATAAAAACATATTATGGACTGATATTTTCAGTTTTATTTGCAAGAAAATGATCAATGGAATGAAATAATTGAAGTATAACAGAAGATATATTTTTTAAAAAAGGAAGCCTTTGTACAGATCGCTGGATCCACAGAAGCACTACTCCAGAGCAGGAAGATGCCTTAATCTAACATAAGCCCATTTGTGCTACATCGACTGACTGCTACAAAAGTGACTTAATTTTATTTTGGAAATAACACTTACCTGTTATGAGATGCTACAGTATGAGCTATCAAAACATATGTTAACATGGCAGATGTATTTTTTTGACACCTGAGTTCTATTGTTAGAGTTGTTTCTTTGTATCCATATAAATTTTCACTCCAACAAGCTGAGAAGTTGTCTTAAGTGAAGTACATGTAGGGCAGTGTGGTGGCTGAAGGTGATTGATAATATCCACTTACTGTTGCTTGTACTGTGTAAGGAAAAGAAAATAACTTTTTTTTATTGGGTGTTTGCTAATTTATAATTACTGTTTTATACTTTTCAACATTTTTAATAATAAAGTTTTTTTATTGTTGGCTATAAAATAACACTCAGAAAGATTCAGATATCTAAATATAGTTATTTAAAACATGGAGCACATTTGTATAATTCATTGAGGGCTTAGTTCTAAGCATTAATACAACCATGTAATGTAGTGTTGTGCCCAAGGCTTAAGTAGAAATATTTTTGGTTTTCTCTGCTTTCAAATTCCTTTTTTGTTGAACTTTCATGGGTATTTTTATGGGCAGGGAAACACAAAGGCACATGTGCTATAGGAATATTGGACACAGAATAGTGGCAGTGGCTAGGAGAAAAGTAAAGAGGAAGATGGGCAGGTTTTGTAAGCTGTTAAAAATTACTTGTCGTCCTAAGGTATTTAGGATACACATGCTGTTGACTTTCAAATGTCAGTTTAGGTGATTACTAAAAATTGCTTGGAAACTTTTTACAGCGATGCTATAAAGCTTAAACGGTGACTTAAAATGCAATTTGAACTAGAATAAAACTGCTTAGCATAATTCTACCTTCAGGAGAGAAATCCTAACCTGAGTAGTCCATTTAAAACTTCCAGTCTGTGAGCAGTGGATTCCACTATTCGTGCCAATTTTGAAATCTGACTTCCTTTGGAAATCCTTTTCCTTTGGAAATCCAGTCTAAGCGACAGGAATTGTTGAATTAACTCTAAGGGAAAATACTGTACCCTGTAAAGGAGAAACAACATAGAAATGTTACCTCATTTGTCCTGTTTAGTCCTGTGTGCACACACAAACCAAAATGATTGATTGCTTCCAGTATTGGATAGAGCTGAATCTTAACCAGCATCTGTAAATATTGACCATTACAGTTTATCTCTCTGTAAAATAGGATTGGAGGAAGGGGTATTATGCATGAGTTAGACTGGATGACCTCTCACATTCTTTGACTCCTAATTTTGCAAAATTAGCCTTATATTTCATTCATCCACCAGGTATTTTGGAGGTACCTTCTGTATGTCAAACATACGCCGTAGGGATAGCTCTGTAATTTCCTAATGTAGCATAAATTTTTAGTCAGCTGTTCCAGATCTTCAGTTGATAGGATTTGTCTAATTCCATTGGCTATGCTAATATTAGATTTTAATAGGAAGTAATGTTTTCTCCCTTTGAACCAAAGGAATGAGTTACTTTGAAAATACAGTTTGGAATACTATTACAATGGTTCCTATACCTTTATTTGAACTTTGTAGTCCTAATACTCTTGACTCTAGAAGACTTTTAAGTATGCGAGTTAAGGGAGTTAAAAAAATCACTTCACTTTGGCGGTTTATGTATTGTAAGGAGATTGTGAACGTTTAAACTTACCTGACTACTTTCAGAAATGTTCTCCCGGTACTTTTTGTGAGTATTTCTACATTTAGATCACAGGATTTGCATGCACCTGATTAACAGTTGAGGAAACATAGTCTTTCCCCTTTAACCTATTCAGGCACTTTTGTGGTGACGTAATCTTTCTCTTTTAAGTTTTATTTAACGTCATCTTTAATAGTAGAGCAAACACCTTTTCAAAAGTTTTCACTTAAAGCCTTTGCCTTAGTTACCTTTGGTTTAATTTATGGCCAGCACTTTGCCACATTCTAGATATTTGGCTGATTTATTCATACATGTTAATGGTCATTCAGCAGGGGCCTACAAATGGCCCGGGAGTCACGGCAAGGTTGCCTCTTTGGTGTTTCGACTGGTATTGATTGATTAGTGCTATCAACTCTTTAGGGGCAAAGGTCAAAATGAAGGCCTGTCGAAATCTATTAGTACTCTATCTTTGGTCCTTCGAACACTTTGATATATTTAAGGAAAATAAAGTTGGATTTCAGGTCCTGCCATTGCCATTAAAGACAAATTCCACCAGGAGTCTTGGTTTTGCCTGGGTACAGATTTACTTGAATGTTCGGTACCTGAGGCGTCTGACCGGTATCATTATGCCAAACCAAAGAGCAGCTGCACTACAGTAGTTCTTAAACATGAACATGTTTACAGAGTTCAGTTCCATTTTTACATGTGGATGATTTTTTAAAACCTTGTTGCGTATTGAATGATTTTCATCCAATGTTTCATAAGCGAATTTAACTTGTAAGGTTAGTTTAAATCAAATATGCAATGTTTACTTGAATTTTACTTCTTTTAGAAAGATTTTGACTATGTTTACAGGATTGTTTAAAGTAAAGATTATCAGACATGTGAGATGTCCATTCATTAATCTTTAAAGCAAATGTATATTAAGGGCTTAGGATCTGTATATTGGGGGCACTGAATAGACAGTGACTTACAAATATGTTTTGCTTACATTTTGTTCTAGGACTAGCACTGCTATCAATGGAAACTATTTTTAACTAATCTGTTATTAAGAAATTAATCGTATTTTTGCATTTCAGCCAAAATAAAGACCATATCTGATCATTTGCAAGGCACAGGTGACGTGTACACCTGAAATCCACGTGTTTCATATGATCTGAACTGTATTTTCCAATCTAAGTTACAAATGCAATATAGATTCAGAAAGGTCCATATTTTTCTAATGACTTCACTTGCTATTACTTTGTTGGGTTGCATAAAGGAGGAAGGAATTGTATTTGTATTAAAAGATTACAAAAGCTATTAGTCAAGTTTATTATATTTGTACATGATTGCAAATGAAGCTATATGCCCATTTGAAAGAAAAGATGGATACTATTTTAAAATGGTCTTTAATATGTTTTTATAGAAA